TCTGGCTCTCGGCCTGGTGTATGTTTGTCTCTGGCCATGCAGTTACAGAATAGGGCAGGTGGTACATTTATATATGCCTTTGATTTCTCAGAAGTTGGTGAGCTTTCCTAAGTGGAGAATTTTAGAGCTAGATAGGATTGTTGTGGGAGAGGGGGCAGGGAATGGAGAGTTGATTCTTCACTCTTCTGTGGTGCAGTCGAATTTATATGTAGCTGGAACTGATTTTCCGAGGGATTATGATGGCGTTGAGCTTAGAAGACTGGTTGGGTTTTAGCACTTCAGAATTGGATCCCTTGCCGGAACTCTTGCTACGAAGGAGTGGACTTGTATTTGGTACAGAGACCACCCCCCGCAAAAAAATCACTGTACTGAAGGTCCTGATTCTTTGATTTGGTGAGAACATGGGAAGGTAAAGTAAGATCAGATGTGTATGACAGATTTTTTTTTAAGATAGAGGGTTAGCAAAAGACTGAAAGCAGCTCTGTTTGGCTTTCTTATTGATGGAATTGTGGTTTGTTTGGTTACAAATGAATCATTCTGATAAAAATATAAATTGCATGCATTCAGTATTTATTTTTGAAAAATATATAAAGCCATAGCCCAAGAAAATTCTTGAATTATACTCTCGTTTGAACTTTGGTGAAATAATAGCTATTTAGTTCCAATCTTTTGTGACTTTTGTGTCTCATAAAATTTGATTAGCATATAATGAGAGACAGTTTAGTGAATAATCAGCTCATTGTCAAACTGTTCTTTTGTTGGTGACATATTCGTTGTAAAAGATAAAGAATGTAATGTCCAGATACTGTAAAATGCTAAAGTGGTGACTATAAATCAAACTTTTGAAAGTTTTAAAAGGAAACTATTGTTTTATTAAAGTTATTTTTAAATGAAAGTATTGCTTTATTTAACCTTGAAATTATTTTTAAAATACTGCTTTAAGAATAGTAGTGCTAGATTTCCGAATTCTGGTGGAGTGGTTCTGTTTGTTTTTTAAGTTAAGCATCTAAGAATTATCTGGGGTGGAAATGATATTTTTTGATTTCTTATAAGAATCATTAAGAATTATCTGGGGTTGAAACACTATTTTTTAATTTCTTATACATACAGATAGAAATAGTCATTTGAGAATACCTGATTAAAAATGAATTACCTTAATTCTTTATATTATTTTGAATGTAAAGATATGGTCCAGATTTGTATATCGTTATTCTGCCCACATTGTGATATGTTCTTCACTAGTTTTTTTTTTCAAATTGAAAAGTAATGCATGTACATGAATAATAACAATATTTTAGGTAACAGTAAACGTTATAGAATGCATAGTAAGCCTCCCTCCCACATAGAGCCGGCATAGTCTCTTATTCAAGGGCAGCAACTTCAGCAGTTTCACGGTACAATCTGATGACTAAAACGTATTTCTTGTCAGAATAGCATTGTCTTTAAATATTTGTTCTGTATAAACATTTTAATGCTGTTCCATATAAATATTTATTATACTGTTCTTTTTGTTTTATGTTTATTTAAATGCTTTTGGGAATATTAATTTTTTTAGTAGAGTGGGATATGATTTGTAGTTACAGGATTGTAATTGTGTCTTATAAAAAGTATAAGACAGTACATGTGCATTTTTATTATGGTATATAATAGTGGTATTATTAGTGGTATTGCCAGGCTGGCTGATAGAAGGCGGTGAAGTCTGTGGTGTTGTAGATTAGTTTTTCAGTGGAAGGTAAGTGTAGCCTCTTTGCATGGAGCATTACAAGTGTGCATTCTTGTTAGAAGACAGACCTCATGCCAGAGATAAAAATCCTTTCCAGGTTTGGGACTGGAAAACAAAAGTAACACGGAGCTTTGTAATAATTATGGGGAAAAGTATTTTCTGATAGATATTAAATACTAACTCATAAATCTCCCATGCTCTTGGCCACATATAAGGAATTATAATCTTAAAAATATTCTGGTTACCAACATTTGAAGAAAATTGGCCACAGAATTGGGCACCAGGGACAGTGTGCTGAAAAACAGACCATGATTAGGAGAGGCTAGACCAAGATTTTAAAAAATCAGATTTCAGGGTTATTTTGAATCTGATGTTACATGAGCCATTGCAGTGAATTCCATTTTATATCTGGAAAAAGTCCTTTTTAAAACTCATGTCCATTTTCCCTTAATGTAAATAATTGATATCCAGAAGTATTAATAGAGTATATGCTTTCTATAATTTATAAAAAGGTAGAGGAGAGAATTATACGAGAATTTTGGTTTAGGTTTAATAGTTTCCTTTTGTAAGATTTCTTCCTGTATTTTCTTACTGATACTTCTGTAAGATTTATTGAATCTTTAGGTTATCATCTCCCTCTTACCAAAACACAGTTACCCCCCTTGCTGTCTTATACCTGGAAGGCATAATTAGAATGTGAGAGATTCTCCTCATTTACTTGAAATAGAGTTTTTCATATATCCAGAAGTAGCAAAATTTATGAATATGATTCCCTTCGTTTCTGCCACCTGTGTTCGTCCTCTGTACTTGAACTGTCTGCAGCTCTTGAAGGGAGGTTTGGGCTTTCATTCTCTTGCAGTTACAGTACCTGAAGTATTTGCCTTCTTACTCTCAGGGATCATACATCTGCTAACTACTAACATGGTAAATGGTCAGGTTTGAGGCCAACCATTTTGTTACGGTTATGTGAACCCATTTATCTGTTTCATATCCTAACTAATTTAAAAATAAAATCATAACACCTTTTATAAGCATATGAAATATTACAAAATCATTACTTTCCTGGTTAAAAATGTTACATACGTATATTTCGTTTGTTAGATTTGGCGTGTTGAAAATAAAGAGAAGTAAAACTAGGAAAGAGTAAGTGAAATGTATTTAAATTTTTATGAAGTATGAAGAATTGGCCAGGTGTGCTGGCTGATGCCTATAATCCTTGCACTTTGGGAGGATGAGCCAGGAGGATCGCTTGAGCTCAGGAGTTCAAGACCTCCCTGGGCAACATAGTGAGATGCTGTCTCATTTTTAAACACACACACACACACACACACACACACACACACACCCACACACCACAAATAATTGATTGCCTTACTCAGAAGATTTATTTCATGTACTAAAGCCTTTGCCATCCCATTATTGCGGAAACTTTCAAAGATATACAATAGTAGAGAGAATACCCAGCTTTAAACAGCCAGTCTTGTTTCATCTGTGCTCTGCCATCCCCAGACTATTTTGAAGCAAATCCTAGGTGTCCGATAAATCAGTATATTGTAGTATTGGTTGAAGAACACAGCATTGGCCTTAGACCACGATCGGTGCCTCGTAAGAAAATGGGCTCACTGTCTGTTGATAGCTCTTAGTGTTCACGGGCTGATTGTTTTCCCCTCTTTTTAAAATCAGGCTTCTTTCTTTTGGCTTTTTTGGCCTTCACCTGTTTCCCTGTACCTCCACAAGGGGGCAGATAAAGGAAGAGAGAAGGGAAGTTTAAATGAACCAGATTTGAGTTTCACTTTTGTTAACCAGTGGGATGGAGTTGCAGAGGATTTTGGGGGTGACTTTTCAGAAACAAGCAGTGACTTTTCTTCTTGAAACAACTCATAGTGCCCCCCTTGCTCTTCAGAGACCAAACAGAACTAGCTATTTTAAAGGGGGTTAACAAATAATCTTAAAAAAAAAAAAAAAAAAAAGGTTTCCAGAGCATTATTACAGCCTTTAATTTTCTCTGTGAATAATAATTTTTCTGTAAAAATAACGATTTAGACTTTACTCAAAATATAGCATTTGAATTTCTATCTACTTTTTTCAGACGACAGCTCTGGGTGATTGTCATTAAGATTTCTCACTGAGTGATGTGAATGTTGCGTAGGCGAAGTATTTTAGCTGGACATTTGATTACCAATGGAAGGGGCATAACCACTGTTTTTTGTTTGTTTGTTTTGAGACAGAGCCTCTCCCTGTCACCCAGGCTGCAGTGCAGTGGTGTGGTCGCGGCTCACTGCAACCTCCGCCTCCCATGTTCAAGTGATTCTCCTGCCTCAGCCTCCCAAGTAGCTGGGACTACAGGTGCGTGCCACCACGCCCAGCTAATTTTTGTATTTTCAGTAGAGATGGGTTTCACTGTGTTGGCCAGGCTGGTCTCGAACTCCTGACCTCAGGTGATCTGCCCGCCTCGGCCCTCCAAAGTGCGGAGATTACAAGCGTGAGCCACCATGACTGGCCAAGTTTTCTCATTTCTTAAAAGCCTCAGTTACTGTGGCGGTATCAGTAAATAGTATTCATAAAAACCTACAAATATATATGATGGTTGCTTTATTTATGGTAAAACAGTATTCTGTTTGAAGCATGTTTGAAATTGAATGCCTGAACACCATATAAATTGCTTTTTAGTCTGTGGGAATTTTAAATAAGCATCTATGAAGTTTTTTGTTGGATTATTTCTTTGTCTTGATGTTTAGATACTATGACCTGTGGGAGTTGTTTTTCTTTGATGTTATATGTGTTTACTCTTTTTGTTCTTTTGTTTTCCCAGTGAATATATTTCTTTTGGAAAAATGCTATTTTTCCAAGTAGACAATGTGAGACTCACATTTTGTATATGTGGTGTTAATTGTTGCAAGATATTGGGGGAAATGATGGGATAAACTTGCAGAAATTGATTCTTTTTGCATGAATTTTGGCGTATGCTTTGCAATAAGAGTATTTCCTTCTGTTGCCACTATTAAATTCTCTGGTTCTCAAAGTTTCTGTATGCCTACAGCATGACACATAATTACAATGAAAGCATTACCTTACATTCCTGTAACATTCTTTTTTCCCCCAGGCACTTAATGCCTTTTATTCCTTAGCTTCATGCATGAATTATGTAGCATATGTGAAGAGGCTTAAACTGTTACCATTACAAATTCTTTCTAGATGGCTCCTGTTATATTTAGGATACACTTATACTTTAGACAAAGTAAGAATGTTATTGTTGTTGACCTTGACACCAAATAACTGGGCAGACATTATATAGCTATGTTTGAATCCTCGCAAAATGTGCTGTTGAAGCCAACAGAGTCCTGGCGGGAGACTCTTCTGGACAGCAGAGTTATGGAGCTTTTCTTCACAGTAAGTTGTAGTCTTCCTCTCTGGTAGCAAGAGCCATAGAAGAGAGGAAATGCTTTGGCGTGTTTCTTAAGTAAAACAAAACAGATTGCTTTTCTCCCCTAAAGTCTTATCTTCTCATCAATATAGCTGCTTAAATAGAAATTATTTTAAAAGTTTCTTGCTAATTTATAAAAATGTCACATAGTTATGAAGGGCTTAATATCCTAGAGCAGAAGTTCTCAAACTTTTAATTTTAGGACCCCTCTATGCTCTTAAAAATTATTGAGAACTCCAAAGAACTTTTCTTTATATAGGCTATGTTTATCCTATTAAAAATTCAAACGAAACTTTACAAAATAATGTGTTAAAAAGTAACAATAAGAAACGATTACATATTAACATAAGTAACATTTTAATTAACTGTATTTTTGAAAACAAAGCAAGTTTAATGAGAAGAATAGCATTGTTTTGCATTTTTGTAAATCTATAATATCAGACTTAATCCACTTTTAACCCGTGTGACAGTGAGAATGGGAAACGCAGCTGCTGTCTTCATGTTATATGCAAATAGTTTTTACCTGTGTGACAGTGACAGTGGGAGATGCAGATACTGTCTTCATAGGATTATGCAGTAGTTTCTTGTCACAGGCAACCTGACAGGCTTTTAAAAAGCTTCAGGGATCCCTGGACCACAGTTTGAGAACTGCTATTCTGGAGTGTAGGTTTTATACTTCTTATATTCATGAGCCATTAGTGAAGTTGGTATTATTGAATAGCAGTTTATCTCATGTATAACTTCAGACAGTCCTCTTTATTATTGGCTAAATACCAAGATGTAAGCAGTATGTTCCCACATTGACGAATGTGTATCCTAATAGAGCAGTGAAAAGCTGGACAAACAATTTGTGTGTGTGCATTTATGTGTTGGATGCTAATTTGCAGTTATAGGTTGAATATACAAGTAAGTTAGATATAATGATATGGACAGAAGCCCAAGCAAAAACCAATTAAAAGTAGAAAAGCTATTTTGCTTAATCCCAATTGTTAATTTTAGTTTCTTTTCATTTGTTTTAAAAATATAGATGAGCCCTTCAACTGCCTTTTTCTGATTGAACCATTTAAAATAAAGTAGTTACGTGGTATGTATTTTAAGATATCTAGAGCAAGGTTATCTATCCATGGGTATATATAAAAGATATTTTCTATAGAAATATTCAGACTGAGCATTAAATCACCTTGTGGTTTCTTTTTAAAATCAGACAAATGATGGCTGAAACCACTGTCAAGATCAAAGGGATAATTGTAACTAAATTTTGAAATTCCGTGGCCTGCTTCATCTGACAGGAATTGTTTTGATACTAATCCAAGTCCAAGTCTTTGTATTATGCACTTGACTGAAAGTCGATTCCACTCCAGCAGTTTTTGAAAAGGTGAAAAACTCTCTGGCAGTACTGGAAACAGCTCTACCAAATCTGAACAGCTGTCTAGACAAACCAGACAGCTGCTCCTGTCAGCTGTGAACAACCACATGCAAATAACTTTTGAATTTGAAAGTTAACCCTTTTTTGCTTTATTTGAACAATTTTTGGGTTTGTAGCTATTTTCACTTAAGCAGTTTATGAACAAGTTTGTTACTTGTTTTAAAAATGAGAATGGCTAATCTTTTTATTTAATTCTGGTTAAATTTAATTTTAGTTATATGAATTTATTGCCTAATTTAAAGTACTTTCCCACTGGATATCACTTGTGCTAGATTTGGATAACCATCAGTATACTGTTGCATAAGAGCAAGACTTTAAATATGTTAATCTTAAGACTTTAAATATGTTGGAATACTTTGGGTTGCATTCTGCCCTACTGAAGTTTACAAACTTCTTGATTTTTTTTCCTTCCATAAGGTCTTGGGGAAAAAAACCCACTTTCATTGTGTTTTCTTCCTACCTTTTTGACCAGAGTCGTCTTGATCTTGCTTATAGTCTCTTCCTTCTTTGCTCATCCCATAAATATTGGCATTCCTATCTTAATTCTCAACGTTGCTGACTCTGTACACTTTCCTGTGGCTCTGTTTGACACGTAGGACTTCAGGCATTGGTTCCCAGATGACTCCTCCATCTATATTCAGCACAGCCTGCTCCAGAGTTTCAGAGCCTTATAATCCAAGTGCTTACTGGATGTTTTAATTTGGATGGCCCACAGACATCTCAGATTTAACATGTTCCAGTAGAATTCGTCATCTTCCTTACTTGCTTCTCCTTCCTTGTATTCCTTTGTTTGATGCATAGCCTTGCCGTTCACCTCGCTGGGCGTCCTGCTGGTCTTTGCTTTCCCTTATCCCTCTGTCTTTTTCCCATATTCAGGTGGTGATTCAGCTTTCCGTTTTATAATATACTTTATAGTGAAATACATGTTCAGATATGGAGGAACTCTTTTGTAATGATGATATTGGAAGAAAGGCAAGAATTTATATTGTATAAAAATTAAGCATTTATTAATAGTTTTATGTGGTTTATATTTCAGGTAACATAAATTAAGTTTGAACAGCACACACTGTCTCGAAAGACAGTTATTTATTTATTTTAACTTTTTAGTTATTTCATTAGCTATTTCATTGCAGGTATTCTTTCTTTTGATTGCTCGCTTCGAGACCTTAATGAACATTTAAGATTGTGAGATGGATTTTTTTTTTGTTTGTTTTTTTGAGGCAGAGTCTTGCTCTGTCGCCCAGGCTGGAGTGCAGTGGCGTGATCTTGGCTCACTGCAAGCTCCACCTCCTGGGATCACGCCATTTTCCTGCCTCAGCTTCCCAAGTAGCTGGGACTGTAGGCTCCCACCACCATACCCGGCTAATTTTTTTTTTTTTTTAATTTTTGTATTTTTTATTAGAGATGGGGTTTCAACTTGTTAGCCAGGATGATCTCGATCTCCTGACCTTGTGATCCGCCTGTCTCAGCCTCCCAAAGTGCTGGGATTACAGGCGTGAGCCACCACGCCCAGTCCAGATGGATTCTTATTGTCCCAGATTACATTGTGTCTGTTGACAGAATATCTCCCTGGATAGCATGCTTAAATGCTGATTGGCTTCTAAGGCATCGTGATAAAAATTTAATTACAGATTTCAGATAAATAATTTATAAGAGTGAGTTGTGTTCATAAGTTTGTGAACTAGACAGTGTGCATATATGAATTTGTCTATTGTACTTGGAATTTACTATATAAAACTTAAAATACATTAGAATATAGTTTGAAAAATATTTGTATTCTAGACCAAGAATTTGCAGACATTTTTTGTATAGGGCCAGATAGTAAACACTTTAGGCTCTGCAGGTCATATGTTCATATTCAACACTGCCATTGTAGTACAGAAGCAGCCATAAATGATATATAAATAAGCATGGTAGTGTTCCAGTAAAGCTTTTTGATGGTCATTAAAATGAATTTTGGCTGGGCGTGATGGCTCACGCCTGTAATCCCAGCATTTTGGGAGGCCAAGGCGGGTAGATCACCTGAGGTCAGGAGTTTGAGACCAGCCTGGCCAACTTGGTGAAACCCCGTCTCTACTAAAAATACAAAAATTAGCCAGGCATGGTGGCAGGCGCCTGTAATCCCAGCTACTCAGGAGACTGAGGCAGGAGAATCGCTTGAACCGGGGAGGCGGAGGTTGCAGAGAGCCAAGATTGCACCATTGCATTCCGTCCAGCCTGGGCAACAAGTGAAACTCTGTTTCAGGAAAAACAAACAAAAAAAAGAATTCTGTATAATTTCCACAGGTCACAAAATCACAAAATATTATTTTTGTTGGTTTTCTCCCAACCATACAAAAATGGAGGAAAAACCCAACAACAACCATTCTTAGCTCACAGCCATATAAAAACAGGCGTGGGCCAAATTTGGCTTATGGACTGTGGTTTGTTCTAGTCCAAAGAGTAGAGCGTATTTTAAGCATGTCAGTAGATCAGTTAGCTTTGTAATGTTAGAGATTATTTAGTATTTTAAATTTCATTACTAGAACCTTAAGAAGTTCAGGGATTAGGGATTAATGGTCTCAGTGAACAAGGATTTACTGAGTTTTCATTGTGGCTCAGCATATACCAGTGAGTACTTAAATGTTCTGACCGCAAGTAATTGAGAAACAATTTGCCTAGTCAAAGTGAATATAACCGAAAACTATGAGTTCGGTGTCACACATTTACAAAAGAGAGAGAACTTTGTGTGGGAAAGAAAAGGGCTAGAGTAGTTAAGTACCTCGGCAAGTACAAAATGGTACATCCAACAGTAAGTGTTGGATGGATTAAGATTAATAACGATCATATTTCTTCACTGAATTTTCCTTGGCTCTATTATGAAACCTTTAACATCTGAGAATATTAATACTATAAAACTAGGGAGCAGTATTTCAAGAGCATTTCCTTCGTGCAGAACACTATTCCAGGTGTTTCATGTCCGTATTGTATCATTGAAATAAACTTTAGGTGAGCTTTCAATGGATTGAAGTATAATTTACATTTTGTATTCAAAATCTTTTAGCATTTATTAATAGCAATGATGTAGGTTAAACTGAGATTCAAACAAATTGTAAGTGAACTGAGAATTAATAAAAGAGTGTGCTTATTATATTTCGGTTGAATGAATGCGTGAATGTCTAGGGAGTCAATGGTATATTGCTTTTCTAAGTGTGCAACTGTTTACTTCCACTAAAGCAGCATCTATATACTCTTGATTGAACTTGTCTGCTAACTTTAGCAAGAAGCTGTAGCTAGGCATAGTTAGCATAATACAGATGACTGTCGTCGTTGCTGTTTTTAGAAGAAGCAGTGTGTCTGACTGGCTGGCATCTGTTTCTCTCTTTGTCATAACATGCTGGAGACGGATCAATTTTCAAAATGTAGGTAGCCCTCAGTTAAAAATCAATTGATATGTTTAAAATAATGGCCTGTAAAGTGAACTGAGGGACAACTTTCTAAATTTAGTTTAATTCAGGAATTAATTTTCTGGAAATAACCAGCTACAGTGAATTTTTCTCTTACCTCATTCGGCATGGTAGACACGTGACCCTTACAAAGGAAAAATTTATATTTATGGATTAGTAATTCTTTCTAACAGGTACATCGAAAAATCAGAGAAGATTCAGATATGGCACAAGATTCTCTGCAGTGCCTTGCCCAGTTAGCTTCTCTTCATGGACCCATCTTCCCTGATGAAGGATCACAAGTTGATTATCTTGCACACTTCATTGAGGGATTACTGAATACTATCAATGGGTAGGTATACTTGCCCTTTGCAGCTGAAAAAGGAACTCTATGTTTTGTGTGTAACAGTAGAAGAAAAAAAAGAACTAGTTATTTTTCGCCGTTATATTTTGAAGTAAAGTCATATGGGTAATTTGTAATTAATAAACAAAGACATACCTTTTAAAATGAATCAGTAACGATATTTGCTTGTTTGGAAATGAGCTATTATATTAATAATTTTTCTTTTACTGCCACGTAATAATACTCATTCCTTGGTTTTAGAATTGAAATAGAAGATTCTGAAGCTGTGGGCATCTCTAGCATTATCAGCAACCTGATAACCGTGTTCCCACGAAATGTTCTAACCGCCATTCCAAATGAGCTTTTCTCCTCCTTCGTTAACTGCCTCACACACCTCACTTGTTCTTTCGGGCGAAGTGCTGCATTGGAAGAAGTGGTGAGTGACTATTCTAAAGTAAATTGTGTCAGGTTTTCACAAAGACTTTTGTGGTGCCTTTGGAACATTTCTCATGGAAAGTAATTATTTTGAGTGCTAGCTATTAAAATGACCATTTTGTTTAGGTGTGCAAATTATTTGGGAAACATGACCTTTAAAAATTTGTGGATGAAAATAGTTTTGTTGGTGATAGTAACTGGTCTTAAGCGGTTAATTTTGAGATACTTTAGTACCCAAATATAGGAGACGGAGTGAAATGAGCTGTGGTTCGTTCAACACAATTTTTCACTTAAAAATTACGTTGAAAGCTCATTCTAACAGCAAAAACATTGTTTACAGGGTGCTACTGTGGTGTGGTGTAGTTATGTGTAATTTTATTTTTTTTTTTGAGAATTTTTTACTTTGGACTTATTTGGCAATTATGTAAACATAATTTGGTTCAAATCATTGTAACCTTGCTTGTTTTCATTAGACTGTGCGCTCTAATTTTTTGGATGGTAATGCTTTAATAGTGTATCCTGGTAGAATTTAATTTACATTGAAATTAAGACCGATAATACGAAAGATGTTTTTTGGTATAAATTTTCAAATGTGTGTTTTCCATATTTTATATTTAAATTTAGAAAACATCTACTAAAACCCCTTGGCAACACAGCTGCTTTTGTAACGGTTACTGTGAATAGCTATATTAATCATGGAAAAAAATTGATTTCATTCCACAAAGTAGTGATTACATTGTTGAAACTAATTTTTCTTTTTATGAATCAAAATGTGAATCTTTTTGAAAAGCTGTAAAAGGAATGTAGATATTTTGTTAGAATTTCATGTTAAATTGTAAGTTGTTTTGGTTAGATTCTGCCAATGTGTATGTGAGTTTTTTGTATCCCTTCAGAGGTGTTCAGAGAATAGGGAACTCGAGATGATTATGTTTATGTAATCGGGCACTTTCATGATTTGATGAGGAAAGGATCCAGGTCAGACAAGTGTTTATGTGGTGGAGAAAATGTAGTAACAGAAGGGTAGAAGTTTAAAGGCATGATAGGTAGATTTGAATGTTTCAGAGGGATAATTTATGTTCTAAACTTAAAAATCCAGGGTAATTTTGAGTATTTACGCTTTACTCACACCTCTTTCAGATGATCACAGATTCTGAACTAGTCAGGTTTTATTTAACATGAATTCCTTGCACTTTCCCTCTCCCCCTTAGTTTATTTTCTCTTCTAAACCAGGTGGATTAAAGAGCATGTTGAGCCTATATTTAGAAACTAAGCTACCTTTTAGTTACTGCTTGTGAGTTAAGCGTGTTCCTAAACATTTTAAAGAATTGCTGGAAGATATATGGCATCCTTGATTTGCAAATTTTAAGTACAGAATTTATTTATTTTGAGGTCACTGACATCTTGACAATTTTTCCTTCAAGATTTGACATAGGAGTGTTGGAATATAGAAAGCCTACATGCATTTGCAGAGAAGTATATGTGTATTGGGCCTATTTCACAGCAGGCATGCTCTAGTGATGAACCTGACGGGTTTCATTCAAGAAAAGTATTATTTATTTTCATTTATTTTACTCAATTTTTAATTGAGCTGTTTATGATATTTAAAAATTATTTTTAAAAATAATCGGTAACCTATTGAAAAGGACAGAGGGATAAGTTTTGCATTAGTCATAGAAACCAGGTTGGGGATGTGTGGTGAAGTTGAGGGCTAACGGGGTGGCCCATGCATGATGACTTTATTGAAGAGTAAACCTCCTAAATGTCATCTCAGCCTCAAGCGGTTTCCGTTGTATCTTGTGTATGCTGGGAGTAGGGGACCAGGGGAGTGTACAGCTGATACCAGAAATAGAGAAACAAATCCAGCCAAACCAAATGGGACCTCTGGGACAGAAACCGTTTCATCTTTTGTTTTCTTGGGCACCCAGTGATTGTAGTAATAGGATGTAATACATAGTTGTCCTGAGATGGAAAAGTATGTAAAGACATGATCTTTTTTTTTTTTTTTTTTTTTTTGAGATGGAGTCTCACTGTGTCGCCCAGGCTGGAGTGCAATGGCATGGTCTTGGCTCACTGCAACCTCCACCTCCCAGGTTCAAGCGATTCTTCTGCGTCAGCCTCCCGAGTAGCTGGGATTACAGGCGCCCGCCTCCACACCTGGCTAATTTTTGTATTTTTAGTAGAGACGGGGTTTCACCATGTTGGCCAGGCTGGTCTTGAGCTCCTAACCTTGCGGTCCACCCACCTCGGCCTCCCAAAGTGCTGGGATTACAGGTATGAGCCACCGCACCTGGCCAAGACATGATCTTTTAAGTAAAATTTGGTAAATTGAGGCATATTAAAGAAATGAGTTCGGGAGTTAGCATGGGATGGAAAGATGTGAACTTTGAGGGAGACCGTACAGCTACGGGCCAAACAATCATGAAGGGTGAGAGCTCAGGCTGCGTCACTTGTTTTGAGCATGTTTCCTCATTGGTGAAGTCAGGGTATGAATTCCTTCCACTGCTTTATGACATGGATTAACTGCATGAAAAGTACCTGTATAGGCCGGGCTCGGTGGCTCACGCCTGTCATCCCAGCACCTTGGGAGGCTGAGGCAGGCCGATTGCCTGAGGTCAGGAGTTCGAAACCAGCCTGCCAAACATGGCAAAACCCCTTCTCTACTAAAAGTACAAAAAATTAGCCAGGCATGGTGGCGGGCGCCTGTAATCCCAGGTACTCGGGAGGCTGAAGCAGGAGAATCACTTGAACCCGAGAGGCGGACGTTGCAGTGAGCCAAGATCATGCCACTGCACTCCAGCCTGGGCAACAAGAGCGAAACTCCGTCTCAAAAAAAAACACGGTTGGGGGGGGACCTGCATAGTGTGCAATAATTTATTACAGGCAATAACATGTAGAATAATAATTTAAAAAATGAACCTTTAAAATAATAGCTTTTATTGAAAGCTTGTGTGCACTCTTACCACATAAGAACAACTGTTGGGTTTTGTTTGGTGTGAACCAAATATATTTCTAATTTTTAGAAATTATTTTTAAAATGGTTTCTATACTCTTAATTTTGTGAAATCCTGAAAGTTTTTTTCCAGTAGGCAAACAGGTTTCACACGTAAGACTTTGTGTTACTGTGAGATTACTTTCTTCAGAGCTGTGTTTGTTTAGGAATATATACAGATTATCATCTTTTTAAATAGGAATTCGTGTCTTTGATGGTGATTATGTTGTATAGCGAGGGAAAAAGAGTATCTTCGCAGGGAGAAACATTCTTGATACTAATGTGTGTTTTTGAAACCCATGTCGTGAAGCCACCTTGCTTGGTGTCTTTAGCATGTGAGTGAAGAGACATGTTTATGAGTACCCTGACTTGCGGTTAACGAGAGTCTGTGTTCACAGAGATCAGTTCCAGTGTTCAGCCAGGTTTCTCTGTGGCTGCAGGTTTCTTGATAATACTTTAGGCTTCTTGGAGGCAAGAATTTTTTCATTATACCCAGAAATCAAATTATTATCTATTGCTGAACCGAAGAGGTGAGAATGAATGTGAAAATGAAAAAGTATTGCCTTAAAGATTAAAATCCTGCTGGGTGCAGTGGCTCATGCTTGTACCTTGGGAAGCTGAGGCAGGCAGATCACCTGAGGTCAGGTAAGGAGACCAGCCTGGCCAACATAACATAGTGAAGCTCCGTCTCTACTAAAAATACAAAAATTAGCCAGGCGTGGTGGCGGGTGCCTGTAATCCCAGCTACTGAGGAGGCTGAGGCAGGAGAACTACTTGAATCCGGGAGGCAGAGGTTGCAGTGAGCTGAGATCATGCCCCTGTACTCCAGCCTGGGTAACAGAGCAAGGCTTTGTCTCAAAAAAAAAAAAAAAAAAAAAATTAAAATTCTATCAATAATTGTTCATATTAATACACCAACTATTTTATAAAAGATTTATAATAGTACATGCATTTGAATTGGTTCAGTGAAATTCATGGAGAATATGACTTGAACTCTATACTCTAGTTTATTTCTTGGTTTCTTTTATAATTAACCATTTTGAGTTCAGCCAAGTAGGTGAAGCCGTGCAGTTGTTGCTACACGAGTAGAGCAGCCTTCAGAGCATTGAGGTATTTTGTATATGCATTTTGATGTGTGTGTTGTGTATAAGGGCGATGGTGATAAATAACAATTTATAAAGGAAGAACCTTACATCTAGTTTTAGTATATTTGTAGCCTAATCTCAAGATTAGTAGGACAAGGTAGTCATGACAAAGGTACTTGATAAAGTTTTTAGGAAGTTTATTATAGAATGTAATGCAATAAAATAAATTTGCGATTTGTTGAGTGAGTGAGTGTATTTAGAGGTCAGCATTCTTGATTCAGAATCTAATTTCTCTGGCTTGTTGGGTAATTACTTTGTAGCGAGGTGATGTGACAAAAAGGAAGCCATAAATTGTAGCCAAATTACAGATTGAGAAGTGGGGAGCATACATTTCAGGATATCTCAGTAATAAGAGGGAAAACAATACTTGTTCTCTGGGACGGTGTGTCAGTGCAGTGTAACTGTGTCGTCTGCCTTGCACCTTCACCCATGAAAGGATGGGTTGTTTGAAGATCCTTGCCAGTCTCCCCGCCAAACGGTTCTTGTAGCTATAAAAGAATAAATCGATGATACTGGGGAGAGCAAGCTGGCTGTCCAGCGCCTCCCACCCATCAAGCACGTTCATTTCCTCTGCTCAAAAGATAGAAGAAGAAATGAAATGAAATCCATGAGTATTTTTTAAACCTTGCACATTAAAAGTATACTTTTTAGAAATAATAATAGTTTTAGCTCTACCAGGACATTTGGAAGAAAACTAGTTACTCTTTTACCTTAAATACCGATTCTTATTAAAAGAAGTGTTTTAAGGATTACTTTTACGTTTTAATTCTAATTGGAAGATAATATTACCATGCAATATTTCATGACTTGTATGAGTCAGCTCTGATTGTTTAAATCTGCTTTACCAATCCTAGTACGGAACCAGTG